CTCACTTTGATAACTGCCTGCTTTCTACACTTTAAGCCTGTTACGCTGTTAGCAAAACTGCTGGTCCATTCTGAAACAAATTCAGCTCGCAAAGAGACACAGCACACAGCTGTTCCTGAATCCAGAAGATGTTAATTGTTCATGAAAAAAGTACTTTTAATTTGAAAGGCAATCCATTATATTCAGGCACTATTGGCATTTTGGTTTTTTTTTGGGTGGGGGTTTAGAAAAATTAAAAACGAAGGTCTCTGCTAAGATCTAAGCCTAAGAGCTACTCTTTCCTGTTAAACTGACAGTAGCCTATGTGGAAGTGGAGGTCGAGTGAAGATGGTCTGTCTGAGTCACTACGGGGGTAATTGCTTCATTAAAACCTGGACGTCACCCTAGCAAAGCTCAGAAATGCAAACTTTTTTACCCCACCTCATGGGCAAAGGAGTAATAAAATAACAGGCTCCTGCACACTGCAGTGTGATCAAGGGTGACCAACACATTTTCCAATGAAACAATCTACTGAAACACCATAACTCCTCAGCACAGATTAAGGCAGCTCTGACCAAAACAGCAGTGCCTTCCAGATTTTACCAAAACAATTAGTCTCATCGGAAGACGGAATAAATGACTTGGGCCGCATTAAAGGACCAAAAAGGCAAAAAAACTGCAAACCCTCAAAGGAAACAAAATACAATCCTAATGAAAATATTATGTCTAAAAAAATACTGACCGCCACTTCTGCTCTAGAGAAATCATGCTTTCAAAAGTCACGTAGAGACCTGGAGTTGTCACAGGCCACACAGTACAGGCTTTAATGCTGTTGAATAACACAGACTTTCCATCGCACAGCTGTTGAGGGTGAAGTCTTCTTCACCCTGCAGACAAGTATGACTGGCACGCACTGCTCTCCAGTTAATGAACTGTGACATTTAGAGGGGCCAGGCGACAGGTAAAAACCTGATATCTTCCTGAGAAACAGTGCCGACAGCAATTACAGTACCTCCTCATATGATGGATACTGTACGTTTCATGAGGGAAAGCAGATCAAACTCTTCAAAAAAGAACAAAGTAAAAAAAAAGGAATCCAGTAAAACAGTTGGGCCTTAACCACAACACCACAATATTCCAATGGACTATAAAATGATATATCCACCAGTTAATATCAAACCTGTTAATGACCAAGCTTATGGAAAAAAGTATGAAGTTAAGCTGCTTTGTCTGCTTCTATGGTGTATGACTAATATTTTCAGGAGAGACTCCCTCAATTAAATTCCCTTGTTTTTTCTGTTGTTGCTGTTTTTCCAAGAAAGATAACGTGACCTGTCTCACGATCAGAATCGTTCATTTATGTTACAAAGCCTGTGACAAAAAATTTATCGAGAGAGCGACAGAGGTGTGTAAAAATACAGTTTTTCCTATTTATTTCCACTACAAAGTCCCATAGGGGAGAAAGGGAGACTGTGCTGCCCATCTGAGAAGCCCTTTCATTTTTCTATAGGTGCTTCCCGCACGCTCCCACACGCAATGCTGTTTAAGATGAACTCGTCTCTGATTTCACTTTCAAAGCCGCTAAAAAAAAACAATAATCAGCACAATGATCGGAAACACAAATAAAGCTGTCAAATACCACACCCTGCCCTCAGCCCTGAGTCACTCTGCAGGCTGGATTCAGGGGCACAGGAAGAGGAGCACGTTGCTGCCGCATGCCTCCGACAGCCCCACCGACAAGGTGAACCACTCTCTGCATAGCGGCACAGCGGGAATCCACCTTTGTGCAATTCGGAAAATGCTCATTAACACCCTGCCTACTTAACAACCCATTCTGTAATCCTATACGTTCCTGAGCTGGTGCAAAGCTGTCTCGTCCTCTCCAGGGCTGAATAAGGGTCATGTAAAAGCCCCTGGGGCTCTTGCTCCTTGTATTCCTGGCTGTCACTGCGCCCTGAGCACTTTCTGCTGGAGACACCTCTCCCCTATTAAACACTGTCAATAAATAAGCCAATTATTTTCACTGAACGAGCTGCAGAAAACCTGGCATGAATGGGGACTGTTAGGGTTTGGGAGGAAAATTAGATAAGGAAACCTTCCTCATAGACATTCCCAAAGTCACCTGCCAAAGAGTCACAAGTGGAAACTGTACGGAAGGGCATTTAAAAACAAGAACAGGAGGCATTTCTTTGCACAAAGGGTGTTGGGAGTGTGGCGCAGGCTAACCAGTCCTGTGGTTGACGTTGATATCCTGGCTACGGTCAAGAATCAGCTGGATCTTTGGATCTTTAGATGTCTGGGATCGATTAGCTTGTAACTACAAAATGATTCTGAGTTGCTAAATGAGCTTTGTTTGTAACCCTTCTCATGTTCTGATTGTTCCAGGGAAAAAAGGCTAGAACCACAGTTAGAAAGAAATTCACAGAATTTTGGTAAGAGCTGTTTACAGTCTTCCTTTATTAACGCTCTCTGGGTAATATCTATTTTTCCAAGTTGCTCCGTAGTTGCTTGGGTTATGCCCAGACACACAACAGGTTTATTAAAGCACAATCCCAATCAATGTTTGAGGAAAATCCCTAGAAACCCCCCAAAAACTACCTTTTTTTTTACATTTGTGACATCATCATAATAAGTAGTATATTGTACATCCACTGCAAAACAGAAAGGTAACCTCAAAATTTTTTCACTGAGAAAAAAACAAGAATCTAACATTTTTTGTGCGTTGTTTTGGAATTTGGCTTTTGAATTCTATTAATTCTTAATAACCCATTTCCTAAGACATTTTACAGCTGTCAGATTGCTTATTTCAATCTTTAAGAGTTATCCTTCCATGTTGAAAACCAAAAGTCTTTAACGCTATGACATCTAAAAACTCTTAATCAACTCCACATGTTCTATCCTACTATTTATATTAAATATTTAAACATTTATTATATTTGGAGTGACAGGTATCATGAGATCTTTTTTTTATTTACTTTAAACTGATTTTTATTTACTATAAACAATTTAAATGACCAACCTATAATAACAACTAGCAGTTAATAACAATGTTATGAAGTACAATTAAATGCAATAAAACCCCAATTAAAACAAAACAAAAAACTAAAACATAAGAGATGTTTAATAGTAGAAGCTGATACAGAATCCCATGTTCCACCTAAGTTTCAGAATCATAACGTTTTATTCTGCTGCTTTTGTAAGAAAACTTTTTGTTAAACATTTTAATAAAATATATAGCAAGAACAAATTCTATTAAGTGTGTTTTGAATCTATATTGATAACATGGCAAACAACAAACTCTTCTAGAAGAAAGCAGTTGTCTACAGATATTTTGGTCACAAAAGATGTTTAAGGATAAATTATTAAAATAAACGTAGAGCTAGGGCCATACCATTTGTAAATTTCAAACCCTCCACTGGCTTTTAACGAGTGGGCTGTGTGGTGAACCTTTAACATGAATAAGACGAATCTGAAGCTTTGAATTCTTGGTCTGGCTCTCGAACGAAATTGTGTGTTTATTTCTTATAAGCCAAGCAATCGTAACTTCCTGCCCCTACAGCTAGAGAGTATACCAGCACCTTCGCTACAATCTGTAGGTCATTTGTTCGAAACAATCTGGTTTTGATTACAGATATGGAAAAAGTGGGCAAATAGAAGTGAAAAAAACGACTTGGCTTTAATTCATGGAACTATTTCTATTTCAGCCACATATTCCAAGCATGTTTAGCAAAAAGAATCACAAACACTATGCAATGTGTGATGACAAATTCTTTACAAAAAATTGGCCACAATTTAGGGGTTTATTTGGCAGTATCTCTCCTATTGCCCTTTTTTTCTATTTTTCTTTCAATGAAAGAATACATGATTTATTTAGCTATCCTTTCATCAAGAGGCAGATGATAACACTACTGGCACAACGGTGAAACAATGCATTCAGTCTCTGCCTGGCCCTCTGTGCTTGGCTGCATGGCAGTCTTAGTGTACACAGGAGTTTTTATGCCCTCTATATAATTACAGCCTTTCAGGAGATTATTACACACGATTCTGCTCCAGTCTTTACTCCCTGCACTTTTCTACCACCAGCTGAGCCTTTGGCGAAAGATTAGACACCACTATTGGCCAGACACAGCAATCCATATCCTTTTTAGACAATCCATTGAAGCAACATCCTTTTACACCAAATTCTTAAACAGCAGAGGGACAGCACATGCACAGCTTTTCCAGTGAGCACGTCTTTATTCCACTGCGATCGGTAAACTAGACGTTTTAGCCCCTGCTTGTCTGCAAGGATGTATGAAACCTTGGACAGCAGCCAGGCTCTCTATCACAGCTGAAAGGTACTGCCATTTCACGGGTTCCCCTTAGAAAGTATTCAGTTTGCCTTTCAAACCAATCTAAAAATAGACAGAAAATGACACAGTTTATATTCATCTCATTCTCCACCAGACAGATGCATGGCAAAAGTAAGGCTCACCTCCCATCTACATTACTGTAGATTTGGACTGCACAATGAACGTCTTTGAAGCTTTCCTCGGGATTGTTTCAAACGTTAGTCTTTTAAGTGTAACATAGGGCACACATTCCTATCTTCTTAGAGAAGATCGGACAAACGGCAGTTGCTTTTCTTTCTCAAAGCTGTTCCGATCTTGCAGCGAGCCCTAACCACCCTCTGCACCCTCATCTTCAAAAACACATCCGTAACAAAAAAAAAGGAAAAAACCCACTGCAGGAACTGCGCAGTGAACCACCCATCTCGGTAAGCGCTTTAAAAAAGAAGTTCGAACAAAGCCGGGCACCAACTTCAAAAGGAGAACCCCTGTTTCTGATTCTGAGCATGCCAGCATCAACTGATCACACTGGGCCCAAAGAGCTCATACTCCCGCACACGAACAGGAAGATGCGATCACCACAGCGCCAGCAGACCAGGCTGAGGCGCAGAGGACCGTGTCCCTAAGCAGCCCCTCGAGCGAACGCGAGGAGACTGGGAAAGGTCTAGCACCACACTTGACGGAGGTACTTACTTTTAAGGAGTCAAAGCAGGCGATTACTCTTCCGTTCTCCACTTGGCAGCTCTTTGAAGGGTGTGCAAATTTACATTCCGTGTCTGGTCGCGAGCAGGTTCCCCTCTGGAACTCTCGGCACACTTCCAACGTGAGCCACTTTGTGTCCCGAATCGGCGTGACGTTAACTGCCATGTTTGAAATTTCTAGGTAGTTGAAATTTTACACAAAAAAAAACAACAAAAAAAAAAGAAAGATCCAGGCAATCTGCGGTATGATTCGAGTAAAAAAAAAAAAAGTACCTTAAAAATAAATAAAAGGCTCTCCTTCTGCGTTCTTCGTTTATGCGGTGGCGCACTTCAGTGAACTGACAGAAGGTATCTTCTTTGTCGAGCTGACACAGCACAGAGCTGTTACTTTTTCAAACGGTTTTAGGTTTAGTGGGAGAGTATCATTGCTGAAGTGAAGGGGTGGCCTACAACTAGCCTAGAGCTCTCAGAAACCCATTCCAAGCGCAACACCAGAGCCCAGCACAAGTCCGAGAACGTGGCAGACCCCTGTGGTAAACTCACAGTGCCTTCAGTAGAGTCGCCTGAAACCTGTAATCGTTCGCTCAGGGGAGTTGGCAATTGGGTTTTTATGGTGCAATCATTATTGATTAGTCTGGCACAGAGAGTTGCAGCAGTGTGCAGCGACAACTGAAAAACCCGACAAGTTTTTTGTTGATTATTAATGGCAGTAAAAAACAAACAAAAAAAACGTTCTCTTTTTTTTCCCCCCACTCAAGAAGGAAAGAGATACCGGTAAAAAAAAAAAAAAACACTGTGATTTTACAATGAAGCAGCAGGGGGCGATGCCTGGTGCTGAGGCCGAGGCCAAGGACGAGGATGAGTTCACAAAATGTCTAAGTACAGGTGAGGAAGGGAGGGGGTGGGCTGGAGCAGCGCTGGAGGGATGTGCAGTCTTCGCAGTCTAGCTGGCAGCAAGCAAGGCAAAAAGCACAGACGGCTCTAGAAGCGGTCCCAAGCAGCAGAGACGTCAGGAAAGGCACTTCTTTAGTACCAACCTGTAGGAGAAAGGAGATACAGTAAAAGTCACCAGACAGCATTTAACTCCTTAGCACAACCCCAGAGCCCCCTTTACCCCCTCCTCCCAGCACCTAGCGTGCAACAGGGGAAGCCTGGAACACAAAATGGGAAACACCATACTTACAGTTAAGCATACTGCAGCCAGCCATTGTACATATATATATATAAAAAAGAGACAAAAAAGAGGGGGCCGCTTCCCCTACTGAAGCAGTGCTGGACGACTATAGGACAACCCATTGCACAGAGTTGCAGCAGTACCCTGGGCAGAAAGCCAGCAGTGTGGGCTGTCTCACGAAAGGTCGCGCCCGTCAGACATTCATTACTATTCAATAAGCTGAGAAAATGTCCATTAGATGTGACTTATCCCTTATTCTCTAGAGAGAGGACAGCCGTGTGTGGGGGGGGGGGGGTCTGAATCTATCCGACATGCAGCACAGGGGATTAAACCACGTTGCTTTTTCAAAGTGAATATCTGTCCCCCTGCGCTGACAAAAAGAAAGAAGAAAACAAGACAGACACCTGCCGGTTAGCTGGAGCAGAAGTGAAAAAGCTTCTGAACTGCAGCTCACTTCCTAGCTGGTGTGCTCTCTGCTTCGACGGCTCTGCCTCAGGGACAGACTATGCTCCATCTCACACCCGCGAACAGAAAGGGAGCAGGGGTGTGTGCGAATGGAACAATCTCCTGACCCCTTCCATTCACTTCCTATTCCTTCCTCTCCAGCACTGCCTCTTCAGCTCCAGAGCACACAGCACACGCACACACAAAACCAGTCAGCAGACGCCGTCAATATGTTGCAGCCAGGTCCAATATCAACACAAGTAGCCCCTGTTGTGACCTTTTTTCAACTCTGAGGTTTTAGAAATGCAGAGGAAACAGAGACCAGGCTGGTGTCAAAGCGTCTGGTAAAATATAAGCAGTCAGAGAAGGAGGCGATTCCATTACAGACGTATTAAATATTAAAGAGGCAGTTTTATTTTTCGTAAAAATGGTCTACACACTCGAGGGTGTGATTTTGCCTGACTTAACCCATGCTGGAGGCGGTGTCAAACAGAGGCCTTGTAACGCAGAAGGTTTATCTGTAAGACATTAACTCTGAATGGCCTACTTGGCTGAAATCAGGAATCGAAATTTCGACACTGCAGTTTTTAAAATTCCACCATCTGGCTGTGATTTATTTTACCACCAAGTTAGGAGGGAAAAAAAGACTGTGATCCCTGTACTGTTTTACCTCTGCCATTCTGTAAAAGCAGCTTTTGCTACTCAGAACTATTTAAAGAGCAGAACCTCTGACTCACAGAGGTCTTGCATGTCTGACTGCTTTTGGTAGGAAGGTTTATGAAGGAGTCATAAAATCTCGCTGTTTATTTTTAAAAGTGTTAATTTCAATCGGACAATATTTGAAATATTTAATATGATATCCCTAAAACACTGCATTCTAAAAAAAGACAATGTTACTTAAAGGGTTTCTACTGCCTATTCTACAGTAATTCTTTCAATATGGCATATCAACTTATATCAGACTAGGTAAATATATATAGGCAATCCAGTTTTCCTATAAGAAAAAAAGAAAGTCTATAACTTGTATTATCCTCAACACTGCTTATGAATGGAACACATCATTTAAAACTACTGTATATGTACAGTAACTGTAATATCCTACACTAGTCTATTCCAAAATACCAGTCGAAGTTCTCTTTCAGGACAGACTGATTAGAGAATGGGACTTAAAGTTAAACTCCACAGGCTGCCAATTGGCACTGTCTGCTTCTATATGTTTCAGAACATTCATCAGACAAAACAAACTCATGTGAGACCAGCAGATTAACAGAACACCTCCTGCAACTGTCCTGACCTCACACAATAACCTCTCTGTGGCTGCCACGCTGTTAAGCCAGGTCTCTGCTGAGCAGGATGACAGATTTTGTTTAGCGGGCCATGCTTTTTTGCCCAAAATGCTTTGTAGATGTACTGTACATAATTATTAAGTGCAACCAAGATCTTTCTCACCTTTGCCTGAGCAGAAGGGGACCAATGCAAAATTCAGCCTGGAATGTGTAAGGTCCACCGTGAATAACTTCAGTAAGATTTTTAATAAATGCATCTTAAGCCACAAGAATAATGAAACATAAACAGCCACAGGCATTAAGATAACAAGCCAATGAATTTGCAATTTCATGCATGCTAAATAGAATTCAACTACCTAAGATAACATTTAAACACCACTCTATTTTTGAATATTAAAACTATGCATCCTGTTTACAACTCGATTGAAACATATTAATTACAGAGATGGGTGGACACACAGTTAAGTGTATTCCGTGTCATCTATTTAAAGACTGCTATTTGATAATCTGCAAATCTTCCCAATAAAACTTGTTTACGTAGTCAGACTACTTAGGCCTTCCTTATGGACACTGCTCCAGAAGGGCTGACATTATTTTATTACCTCTCTTAAATATAGCCTCTCAACTTCTAAAAGGTAAAATATTTTGGGAATATTCTTAAAATCACAGTTAACTGTAAACCCCTCTCTCCCCAGTAATGCAACGTAATTCAAGGTACTTTCCATTTCTTCTTGAAATAACTCTTTATTATTCTTGCCAGTTCTAAGTCTTGCTTTTTTTAAAAAAAAGTGTACATGCATAACATGCAGTACTCACATCAATTGTACTTAAAATAATTTTGAATTCAAATGCTTTTTCAAGTTTCATCATATCTAGTTAATACTATACACATTAGTGAAGATTAAATGTGAGTGAATCAACTAACAAGTTGATTCACTCAACTTTGAAGTTGAACGAATTCAACTTAAAGAAAGTTCTTTTGACTTTTGCAAAAACACATTTAGATACTAGAACACAATTTGTTACAGTACATTAAGCATTACACACTAATCTCCTCCTTAATAAGTCATGAAGTACTCAGGAAATTCAGTATAATTTGGAACTGTTCTGTTTCTGAATCTGAATCTGAATTCTGAATCTGTTATGCCATTTGTACTACAACAGTTTTCCCAGATAAAGCAAAGGCACCAAGACTAAAGCTATTGAACCAGCTTATCCACAAGGATGCAAAATTTCACAGATTAGACATATCAGGCTTGGCTGTTTTACATACAGTATTTTCATACCATAGTAAGTGCTGAAAATATTTCATATACTGTAAATAAGGTCAATAGCTTTCCAATTTTTCCAAGCTGGAGAGAGATGAAACATCATGAAACATCATGCGATATCAACAAGAGGCTGTTTCTTTAAAAGGAAGCCTTATTCATACCTTTTATATAATTTATAAGACCCTGTCAGATGCCCATGCCAATTAGTTTTATAACTAACGCATCAAACACTACAATAAGTATTAATACAAAAGTAAATAATTGAAAACTTTTATATAATTAATATAGTACTTAACTAAGTTCACAAGAATTTGATTACCACATCCCAATCTCCTGTTATCTGATACGGAAAGAGCAATATCGAGCTGAGCAGAGGATAGGAACCTGCTGTGGTTTCATAACCAAATTACTTCATACTTTACACATTAAAACATGCATTTAATTATTAGCCTTACAAAATAGAATAATATTTATTAGTAGAGTCAATCAAAATCTAAAACTAAAATTACACAAGCCAGGGTTGTTACATTTTTCAAATGTTCTAATAGTCTCAGGTGTGTGAGTGGTGATGCAGCTTTCAGATTTTTGTGATTTAAAATAAAAAATATAGTTATGCTACCCGCTGGCTAGAGCTCTGTTAGCTACAAGTGCAGTTCAAAATCGATGTGCAGTGTGACTCATCAGATGAGCACATTCTTCTCCTCATCTACAATGCTCTTTATATAATGTCATTTTTTCTTCATTGAGTTTCTCATTTGCTTTTCACCATTATCAGAAGCTTCTTTTGGAAGTTACCTAAGGAAACTTTTACTACTTGGAAATCATGTTCTTCTTCATTTTTGGAGCAATTCTATTAAAAATGTCTCATATTCACCTTTACTCAGTTTTCGTATTCAAAAACCCAGACATCCACATATGTAGGAAGGACAAAGCAAAGGAAAATATTAAAATGTTTCACTACATGGTATTTGTCATGGAGGAAGAAACTTTAATGACAGAAATTAAAAACTGAACCAGGCATTGACTTTCTGAAGCTTAGGTTAGTAACACCATTTAGGTATTTCTGTAGCAATACATACAGAGCATTTAGAGTATTTTTTTCCACTTGGAAAAAAAAAACACTACAGATGCTAATTTCTAAGTCTAATTCCATCCTGACTAATTCCTAATGTTTTTGCCTTGTGAAAACTTAAGCCTACTGTGGAAAAACGGTATTTTGTTTATGTAGAATGGACTGTATATTGTTTTTAAGGTTTTGTAGCTGTTCTGTACAGACAAGACACACAGATCGGACCGCATGGAGATGTATTTAGAAAAATGAATAAACCAGTAAACCACACTGGCCTCCCAACACCCTATAATAAGACGTCACAAAGGAGAGGCTCCACATCTGAAAGTAATCCCAACACGCAGAAGCAACGTGGTGGCACGCCATCTTTTCACCTTGAATGACTTCCACGACAGAGGAAGCTGCATGGCTTTATCAGACTCCCTCAGAATGGGACGATGCAAATGAGCACAGTCTGTAACAAATAACACCAAGTCTGAAAAAGCAGCAGTACAGTTACAGATTTCTGCCTTGTATTATACTGAAAGGGTAAAGAATATGCTCTACATTACACACAGGAAAGGAGAAAAATCTGTAGACATTAAAATGAAACAATGGCTGGATTCAGAGCTATCCAGACACACGTACGGGCTAGAGCTGACGTCACTGATTTGACATATTTGGGCTGAAAAAAGCAGAATAATGATTTACCAGTTAGTCTGGAAATAAGTCTTTAAAAAAATACTTCCTGTTTTTTTCTCCTTTAGACTCTTTGATTTTTTATTCTGTAAAATACTTCATTTTTAATGAATAT